GGACTGGTTAGATGAGAGCTTACATAAGACAGTGAGAGACTCCTAACGACCCAAATCAGTTTAAAGACTCCCAGCTAAATTTTCTTCATCTGAAGCCATGATGACTTTTGATTTGTTTTGTAACTCACTGCCAAGGGTCTTGTTTCATAAGTTACTGACCTTCCAAATTGGAATATGTATAGTAAAAATTTGAGCCAGATGGTAGATAATCCTTGCTCCATTTTCTTCACAATTTTTAGTATTCCCTTCAATTCTCAAAACTTATTTCCATTAGTTTTTTGTCTGCTCTGTAGTAGTTTCTGTTGGCATTGTGAGACATGATTGCTGTTCCTCAGGAGTTACAGTTTTGTATGTACTATCTGTGCTAATACAGAAATCCAAAAAGAGTGCAGTGGGAGCAAGCAGAAGAAGGTACATGGTCAGGTCCACAGCAAGCATTGGGAGTGTCTCTGAATTCATTTCTGAGAACAGTTATCTGGTTCCTATAGAGATCCCACACATGTGTGTGTGTGCGCACACACACACACACACACACTCAATATATATATATGGATCCAAGTTACAAAAATGTTGGAGGGGCTTGAGAGATGGTTATAAGAGCAGTAGTTGCTCTTCCAGGGGACCCAGGCTCGATTCCCAGTACCAACATGCTAGTTCACAATAGTCTGTAACTCCAGCTCTAGGGAATCTAATGTTCCCTTCTATCTTTCACTAGCATCAGATATGCATATGGTGCATAGAAATTCATGCAAACAAAACACCACCCCCACCTAAAAATACTAATAGTGAAAGCAGTTAGAGGGTGCCTAAGTTTTTCAAGCAAGGATATTAAAAGTACCATCTAATTTTATCATTTATCAACAAGGATCTTTTATAACTAAAACTAAGAAGAAAGTAAATACAAAATTGAATAGATTACTTTCTGAAACTTGAATGTAGCTTTACAGTCAGATTCTTCCCCCGCCTTCCTCCCTCCATTTTTTTTACATACCTGTATTGGCATTTGGGGAGATTGACTTAGTGGATGTAATAGTGAATCTTGAGCTGAGAGGAAGGAAAAGGGAATTTAATGGAGTCTTACTACATACTGACATTATTTCTATAATCCTTACAAGAGCTTTGTAAGACAAGTGTTATCCCTCATTTAAAAGTGAGGAAATAGTCTTAGTGGTTAAATAACTTACCCAGCTCACTTGGCAATTAGAGCCTGAATTTTAATCCTAGATTTTTTTTTCCTCCCTCTGAAACCCATGTCTTTTAGCCTTACCTCACTTGTTGCTTATTACTAACTCTTAATGAAAAACAATTCATTTGTAGGTCTATAAATTTAGCCAGAGCTTGTGTATCTCTGATTTACTGAAAGTATGAGCTGGATAATTGGACAAAAAATAAAAAATGCATCTGGGGTGGTAGTGTTTGGATTCCTGCTTATCATTTTCGTACCTATTTTTTAACTTACTGGCTTTATGTTACAGTTATTCTTGGCAATCAGTTTTAAGGCCAGCCTTTCTATCTTAGGCTGTACAGTATCTTGAGACAGAAAGTTATGCATTTTCATGTGAAAAACACCATTTTGTTGTTTCACTGATGTTGATTCTGTGTGTCTTGTTATATGTAGGCTCTTTCTTGAATGTGGTGGCACCAGAGTATATAATTGTGCAGACTACTAGTGAGCTTTCATTCTACCATGGAGCATTGTTTTTCACAGGATATCTTATGACCCACTAGTAGGTCATCCATCAACTTCATGTATCACCAATAACATTAGAAAAGGAAAGTGGAAATGTAAAAATATCCCAGAGTACAGAGGGAGATAGTTTCTCCTGAATTATCTTTGAAGTATCTGGTCTCTGTCTGGATTTCACTGCATTGTTTCATTATATTTCGTATAGTAAGAGACTATCAAGGTCCTTTGTAGTAAACAACATTTGGCAAACACTTGGCCTGGAGCAGCAGTTCTCAGCTGACATTGACATTTTGGGCTACATAATTTGTTGTGGGGGCCGTCCTCCACACTGTAAAGTGTTTAGCCATGTTCTTGGCTCATACTCACCCTATGTCAGTAGCACTTCTCTATTGGTGACAAACTAAACTGTCCCCAGACCTTCCCTTTTATCTCCTGGGGGACAGTGTTCCTTACAGTGAGATCTTTGTTGTTGAACAATTATTCTGACCAGTTACTGTCTTGGGTCCAAAAAGATAGCTTTTTGTGTGGGATAGACATTTTATCTATGACATAAATTAGCGACAGAAGCTAAATCTCCATTATTGCATAGTTATATGAAGAGTTATGTTGTGTGTGACCTAGCACTTTTTGGTTTATGTTTGTTTTTATTTTGTGGTACTTATTCATGCTTAGTGCTCGACCACTGAGATTCGGATGGATATGCTTTTAACCTTTAAATCCACCAACTTCTGGTACCAGGTTAAAATTATTTTTACATGGACAGAAATTGATGTGGATCATAGCTTAAGAACCCATTTTCCCTTTTCTCTTTGTTTTTGGCCTTATTCACTTATCTTATCAGGGCAGCAAATAGAAAGGATTTAATACAAATGAAACTATTTTCTTCACCTGTTCTATAATCACTTTTTCTCTCCAGAAAGCACTTTTCAAATCTGATTATTTTTTCCCAGCTTTAAGGTATAGTTGATAAAGTTATATGTATATTCAAGATGTACAGTGGTATGGTATGCGTTTACAATGTTTAATAATTGCTCAAATATAATTGATTAACCCACCCATTAACATAGCTATAGTTTGTGTATAGGTAGATAGAAGAAAAACACATCTTAGATCTACTCTGTTAGTAACTTTCAAATACAGAGTAGTTAGCTCTAACAACTTCTTAACTCATGAATGTATTGTATACCTTTGGACATTAAAAGTTTGACGGTTAGTACTTTTATGACATATGTCTACTAAGTTTTTTTTCCCCTCCCGGAGTTGAGAATAAACCTATCGTCTAGTGCTTGTTGGGGGGGCTTTTTATTGCTGATGATATCCTTAGCCTCTTATATTAAGACTGTGTAAAGCCCTCCCTAGCTCCTCCCTTCAGTTTAAGCAAAATTACCCATGAAACTGTTTGTATCTAGTAGCCACTAATGAAGCTTGTTTTAATCTGGTGTGGTATAGCTGAACATTCTTAAAATCTGAAGTAAGAATTTCATCAACTCTATTATACATACTGTTTTTAATATGGAAAGGAACTAAGTGTTACTTTTACATTGTTTCATAGTTGGAAAGAAAAGAAAATTTTGACATGTGAAAATTAGACTTTAAACTTCATTGTCCTTGAATATAAAGTTTTATAGAAATAAAGTAACAGTCATTGGCTTACATAGCATGTATGATTTCTTTTAGGTGTAGCAGCAGAGTTAAGTAGTTGGCATAGGCTTATACCTTGGGAAAATGGAAATATTTACTGTTTGACTCTATAAAATGTTACCAACCCCTGTTATAAATGATTGGTTAATGTAGTATGGTTAACTATTCATTGTTTTCTCTTCTGTAGAGTGTCAGCTCCGTGAAGGCAGAGATTCTTATTTTGTTCCCCCATTTATTCCCACGTACCGGGAACTATCTGGCTTATCATAGCTGCTCACTGACTATTGGAATAGAACAAAAAGTATCTGAATTTATAAAAATGAATATTTAATTCTTAAAAGATGATAGGCATTTTGTTCCCAGTTAGCATCAAGCAGAAAAAAAGACATTGAGAGATAAAAGTTATCTAGCTAAATAAATGGTAGAGCTGGTTCCTTTAGGGAATTTGAATTTGTAGAACTCTGTGATCCTACTGCTGATTCATGCTGCCATCTAAAGAAGATAGTTAATTCTGTATGGGTAGAATGGCTTCACTCACTTTTAGTGTTTTACCTTCACACCACATTCTTGCTGTGAAAGGCCAGTAAAGCAGCTTAGAGTGCACTCTTCTTTAGGAAAGGTTTCGTGTTAGCAGTATTTAGCGTTTGTTGTTAATTTTTCTACCTGTTGTATTTAACCTAATTGTTCCCCATTTAAAGTGATGTTAGATAATGATAGGATATAGATAATGAATAGTATTGACTATTACTTTGAATTTATTTATTCATTTATTTATGCAGAGTCTCTCTATGTATCCCTGGTTATCCTGGAACTTTCTATTTAGAGCAGGCTGGCCTTGAACTCACAGAGATCCACCTGCCTCTGCCTCCACAATTCTGGGATTAAAGGCTTATATCTCAGTGTGCTTGGTTTACTTTAAAAGTTGAAACATTTTTTGATGTGTGTTTTAAATAATAGAATTTAATTTTTTATTAAGTGTGAAAGCTTGGTGTTATACTAGAACGTTCATTTTTCTTCCATTGAATGCCACAGTTAAAAATGATGGCACACTTAAGGTGTTACATATTTATGCCAGTTTCCTGAAAAATATACCTCTTCTGTGAGTATAGTGGATCATGCCTTTATTCCCAGTTCTTGGGGTGGATCTTTGTTGGTTTGAGACCAGCCTGGTCTACATAGTGAGTTTCATGTTAACCAGGGCTATAATAAGACCCTGTCACCAAAACCAGTGTTTTCCAGTGTTTAAACTGTAGAAGCAGTGTAATAGCATTAAGAACATTTTGAACAAAGGAAAAGAAGCCACATTATTCTAAGCTTCTTCTAATGTACATGCCTTTGCTGTATCTGCTTCTCTTTATGACACACAGAGAATAATGGCATTTCAGGCTTGGAGGGATCTGGGTCTGGTAGTTTTTATTTAAATATACTATGTGATTTTTCTCTCACTCCCCTTTTCTGTATCACCAAGTACTTGAGAATGCAACCTTCAGCTTCCTGGTCTAGGGTACTTTTGAATTTTACAACTATAAGTTGTTATTTTATGATTTTCTTTTGCTTGTACCTTAATGTAATCATAAAGGAAATATCTCGTTATAAACAAAAATTTAGGTGAACATTTGAATGTTTCTTATGTCTACATCTATTAATTATGTCTTTTTAAATTTTTATTCAGCTTTCTAAAACCAACTTTTCCAACAACAATGACTTCCGTGCTCTTCTCCAGTCTTTGTATGCTACTTTCAAGGAGTTTAAAATGCATGAACAAATTGAAAATGAATACATTATTGGTTTACTTCAGCAACGAAGTCAGACCATTTATAATGTACATTCTGACAACAAGCTCTCTGAGATGCTTAGTCTCTTTGAAAAGGGACTGAAGAATGTTAAGGTAAGTGGCAAAAATTGATCTGTAATGATACTGTGATTTTTAGTAGCAACTTTAATAAGCGATATTTATGGAAAGATATTTATATGAGATGGCTAGGAAGGCTGTTCATGAGGAGTGGTTACAGTGGAGGCTTATAGCAAGGTGGAGAGATAGAACTCAATTCTGAATATAAGAAAGTGCAGAAGTTAAGGTCCGAGAAGCAAGGAAAGATCCAGCGGATGGATGATTACTGAGAGAAAACATCAGGACCAGGAGGAATCTTGTTGAATCAAGTCTACAGGATTTTTGCTGAAAATAGGCTAGGGAATTAAATCCTAGCATTCTGGAGGTAGAAGATGGGAAATCTTTGTGAGTCAAGGTCAGCCTGGTCTACATAGTGAGTTCTAGGCCAGCCACAGCTATATAGGGAGACCTATTTTCAAACAGAATAAAACTAACAAAATAGAATTGAAGGTGGAAAATGTAATTCATTGGTAGAATTCTAGCCTAGCATGAGCAAGGCCTTGACTTTAGTCTTTAGCCATGGAAAAAAATTAAATGGCAGCTATAGTGTTTACTGTATTTTATTTTTCCCTGTTGTAGGAAACTGAATGGTTAAAGAAGACAATTTCAGTTGTATGTCATGAATGGTGGCACTTACTTGACATTCCAATAGTCGGGAGGGTCACTAGTTAGTTCAAGTCCAGCCCAGAGTACACAGTGAGATTTTATCTCGAAGATAAAAGATACAAAAAAATATTGAAAAAGAAATGAAATGCATTTGTGAGTATAGTTTAGAATAATGATGCATGTATATTTTCTTAATTATATTTGTCTTATACAATATTTGAAAATTAATCTTAGTTTAACCCTTTCAGTTCAGTATAGCATAGGAGTAAGTTGTAACTCCATCAAGCTACTGTATAGCCTTTACTTAGACACTTTGCTTTAGAAAAGTGATTCAGTAAGAGGGAAGATTAATTTTAAAGGGCAGAAAACACTCAAATTGAAGGCCGTTATTAAGAAATCCTACCAGTAGTTTCTACCATAGGAAAAACACTATGTAGAAATCCAGAGGAGAGGTGGTTGATTAGTAGAGGGAAGAATACTGGGTATAAGAAAAAGGAGATTTGCTTTTTTTTAATTGAATATCCTTTTGTACTCTTGATGTTTTGTGTCATACTCATGTATTATGTAGACAGTAATTTCTGAGCCAAAGTAATAATTGTTGAAAATACAGGGGAAGGGACATACTTGACAATTATGTATGACCTAAGACCAGTGAAATACTGGGATTATACAGAGTGGTGTAGGAAAAGAGAGGAAGAAATGAGTGAAAGTTGTGTTGGACTTTGTGTATGGAAGAGGGCCAAGGGTTAAGGCTTATCCTGAACTACTTAGTAGTACGAGTGCACGTTATTAATAGGAGGAGAAGGCGTTGGTGGATTTGAAGAGCCGAAGGAGTGAAGTGGTGTGAAAAACAGGTTTGATAATTATTAGCGTATAAGTGGAATTGGAAGCTGTACATATGGATGTGTTTAAAGGATATGTAAAAATCTCGGCAAGTTCAACAATGAACTGAATATTAGAAAGTAATTGAATAAATTATTAACAGCAAAAACAGGCCATGACAAAGATAAATTAATACTTGTCTCAGTTACTTTTTTAATTGCTGTAATAAAGCACCATGACCAAGAAAACTTAGAAGGGTTTATTTAGAGCTTACAGTTCCAGATGGATGAGTATAACATGCCTCTTTCCCCGTATGTGTATGTGTGTGTGTGTGTGTTAGCCGGCAGGTATGGTGATCGGAGCTGAGAGCTAAGTACTCAAATCTTAAACCACAAACAGGAAACAGGAAGTAGACTGAGCTTGAAGTGAACAAGAAATGATGAAGATTTTTAATCTCTTGAAGTCTGCCCACAGTAACATACTTCTTTTAGCAAGGCCACATTTCCTAAGTCTCCCCAACAGTACTACTAAGTGGGTTCAGAACTCGGATACCAAAGCCTTTGGAGAACATTCGCATTCAGATCACCACAGTATCATATTTTTTAAATATTTCATTATTTTGAATGTTCCCTATTTTTACATTGGAAAAGATGGATAAATTACAGAGAGGTATGATTTTAATTCACATGTGAAAGAAATGTTTGGCTCTTGAGAGGTGTTCAGAATTAGAATGATTTAAATTGTGAGTTCCTTGCTTTTACAAATGTTAATATTAAAAAATATGGCCTGTTAGGATAGCATAAAATATATTATAAAAACTTTATAGTTTATTTATAGTATATCTTAAAATATATTTGTTACATTTTAATAAAATTTAAAAACCAGGATTGGAGTTAGTAAGGAATTCCAAGCTTGTTTTCAGAGCTGTGAGTAGGAGGTGGTGTGTCAAGGCTGAGTGGAGAGTGTCAGACACATAACAAGTACTCTAGCGCTGAGCTGAACCCTAGCTCGATGACATCTTTATGCTAAAAGAAAAGTAAATGAACTTCCTGTGATCAAGCAGTATATAATGAAACAAATCTTTGTACAACATTACTACGAAGCAAAACTATATATATTTGAGGCAGGGTCCTACTGTGTAGCCCTGGCTGGTCTGGAACTTGATATGTAGGTGATGCTGGCCTCAAACTTAGAGAACCATTTGTTCCTGCCTCCTGAGTTCTGGCATTAAAGATGCATGTCTCCACTTCCTCCTAAATGTGTATTACTCTTTGTTTCTAGAATGAGTATGAACAGTTAAATTATGCAAAACAGCTGAAAGAGAGATTGGAGGCTTTTACAAGAGATTTTCTTCCTCACATGAAAGAGGAAGAAGAGGTGAGCAGAGTTTTTCTTTGTTGTGATTTATATTCATAATTTAACAGAAAAGACTATTTTGCCTTAAGTTCCTCAAAATAATGTATAAGAAGAAAATGTTCTGTTGATAGAATCAGCTGTTATTTCTTGGGAACAGGAATGAAATCCAGTGGAATTATAAAAGCATAGCTTTAATTTTTTTTTGAAAGGTTACTACTTTACTGAATGAATGGTTATATTTACTTAAGAAATAAATATATATTTATGTGTCATGGCACTGTGATACATTTTCATGATTTCCACTAATTTTTCAGAATTTTTAGAAGATTCTGTAAGTCTTTAAATATCTTCTGTATGCCATGTTTAAAGACTTTTTAGTGATTTTTTTTTTTATGAGTGGATTTGAGTAATTAAATGGTGGCTTAAATTTATCACTGTTGTTCCTCACATACTTGCATTAGCATATCATTAAACATACTACAAAACAATTTGTCTTCTTTCAGTAATAAAGGATGATTAAGTATCCAATGTAAGATACAGAGAAGCCTATGAGGACTGAATACTTCTGCTTTTTTTCTTTTAAAGATCTATTTTTATTTTACATGTATGAATGTTTTCTCTGCATGTTTGCATGTGCACTTTGTGCCAAAGAGCAACATCTGATTTTCTGGAGTGAAGTCACAGATGCTGCTGAATCACCATATGGGCACTAGAAGCCAACCCCAGGCCCTTTGCAGTAGCAGCAAGTAGCCTTAACTGCCTAGCCATCTTTCCAGTTCTACTTTGAAAAACAGAGCCAAAACATTTATTACGCATTTGGGAATTGCCTCCTTCCACCATGGGTTCTGGGAATTGAATTCAGGTCATCTTTCTTGGGAGCAAATATTCTTACCCAGTAAGCCACGTTGTTGGGCTATGGATACTCTCTTTTAGTTGTAAATCATTGTTGTGGTTTGCAATTACGGCTTCATCTTATAATGCCTTGATATTAAAATGTGGTGTTTTGAAAACTCTTCCTGGAATAGGCAGCTTTGTCTTGGTGCTCTTTCTTTGGTACTTGATATTATTCTTTACATTGTCATATGCAGCCAGTGCTGAAACCAAGGTAACAGTCTTTTCTTTTTTTTTCCCCTGAAAAATTTTTTTCTCTCATATATCCTGGTTACGGTTCCCCTCCCTCTACTCCTCTTATCTTCTCCCTATTCTTGTAGAATTCAGTTGCTCAGAACCTACCAGAAGACAGTGTCGTAGTAGTCATTGTTCTGTTACTGTGAAGAGGCACTGTGACCAAAACAACTCTTATAAAAGGAATTCATTTAGTCGGGGGCTTGCCTTCACTTTCAGGGGCTAAGTCTGTGAGTATGGCAGGGAACATGGCATCAGGGAGCAGGAAGGCACGGTGCTGGAGAAGTAACTAAGAGCTACATCCTGATCTGTAGGCAGGCAGGTGGGCATGAAATAAGCCCCCACCCCCACCCATCCACTCATCACACACACCCCAGTGGCCTGGTATAGGCTTTTGAAACCTCAAAGCTCACCCACAGTCACATACCTTCTCCAACAAGACTGGATCCTTCTCAAATAGTACAACTCCCTGATGACTAAGCCTTCAAATATATGAGCCATTAATATGTCTTTCTCAAACCACCACAGGCAGGTAGGTACTGGGCTAAATGTGTAACAGTAACTAAATGGTTGACTGTTCAACAAGCTTGGTACAGGAAAACCTTCCTGTTCTTTAAAAATTTATGGAGGCTTGCAAAATCATAGAGAAAGATACTTTATGCTATGTTCTTTAAAAAGAGTTTTGATAATTTAGTAGTAATGACTATAATTTTATCTCTTTGAAATGTATGTTCATAATACTTAATTTAAACTAAAACTGTGTAAAGGGTTTTGGGTAAATAAATTGAAAATCTTTCCCTATGAATACTTTTTCACTTAGGTTTTTCAGCCCATGTTAATGGAATATTTTACCTATGAAGAGCTTAAAGATATCAAAAAGAAAGTGATTGCACAGCACTGCTCTCAGAAGGACACAGCAGAGCTCCTCAGAGGCCTCAGTCTGTGGAACCAAGCTGAAGAGCGACAGAAAGTCCTCAAATACTCTGTGGATGAAAAGTCAGATACAGGTAAGAGTCACCTGCTTTTGATAGAACAGTTTATTAGTCGGTGTTGTTGACATTATGTTATAGATTCTGTTTGAGGAATAATTTAGGTCAGGATCATACTGTAGTCAGTTTAAACCATTTTGACATAAAGCTATAATTGAAGACAGTAGTTTTTATTTAGTGGAATTTAGTGTTTATAATGTTCTTCCATTGAGGGTTGGGTCACATGTAGTGTGGTGTTTCTTGAGTGAATTTGTAGGTATAAAATGTACTATTTTGACCAGTGAAGATTCAGGACTGCTGTGTTTAGAGTAGTATTATAGTATCAGCCAGCTTTCTGAGCTCTTTTGATTATAGTGACAGATTTTTTTCT